GTATTTGTATCGATATTCTAGTTGGATTCAAGTGAGAAGTAATTTCTCCGTGCATTCTTTTTGATTTTGATTCAAATTATGATTAGTGGGCTGTAGCATTCGGTTCATATCTAGCATTAGTGCATAGATTGTTGTCCTGTAATGTCCCGAAGATGGTAAACACCTTCTAGCAGTTATGTTCCACTTAGACCACAGTTCATTTGCCTTGTCACGGAAAGATAATGTTTTCACTCCTTAGGGACAGTTCATGGGTTAGCTTAGTCAGGCGCATACTTACTTGCATTGACTACGAACAGCATCCACACTGGCACCTGGATTTGTGACAGTCATCCTACGAGTCATCAGAAGTAGTGATATTTAAGTCGACTTCCCACATACTTTGTAGAGCTAAGATCTTAGACTCTGTAGTGCAGTGAGCGGAAGCCAAGTGTTTCAGCCTGAACGAAGGGAAACAACAAACGTATCCGTCGTCACAGCTACTCGACATTACTGGCTTACATCAAATTACTGAAACAATCCATCTAGCATGTATACAGTACGAAAGTTCCTTAGTTACAAGTTACGTACTATACAGCATAAGTGACTTGGCATAGCTTTGAATTACCAGAGAACAAATATGAATATTCCGAACAATTATGGATAAAAACTACAAAGATCAAACAGATTGAAACACTCTTCCTGCAGACAATCAAGGTTTAAACAGCCACTCCACTTCAAAACGCATTCGAAAACTATCGGTAATTACCTTACAGTCTTACAACCCTCTGTCGGCATATGTATGTCATAATCTACCCGTCGTAAGACCATTTCAGAGCTTTCCTTCTGTCCCTTAGTTCTCACTCCTTTATGTTGAAAAAGCAGTCCTTGACTGGAATATTATTTATTTTTTACTGGAATTAATCATTCATGCCACACGAGATTTAAACGACGGTTAAGAAATGGTGTAGAAATAGAGGCGTATGCGCATAGAATAGGTAATCGCACAATAACACATATTAAGGAAGCATCTCCTCAGTTGGTCAGCGAATCTGATGTTGGAAACATGTGAACCATCCTTTTTGTGTGAAAGCGTCATCTTTTCCAACGGCTGCTGAGTTCGAAAAACTTATGTATATAACTAGGAGGACATTCTGAATGTTAGTGTCCAAGTATGAAATCTCCTTTTTGAACTCAAGTGTGTAGTATGAACTCGCTATGTCAAGTGGGCACCTTACATCTCACTTTAACTGTGTGCACATTACTGCCCCTTTGCTTTTAAACTATATTACTGTAATCTCTTTATGGGCCTACCGTCTTTCTTATTAAATCTTCAAGTTCTCTACAGATAGAGGCTGTTGCCTCTTCATTAGTGCTATGCATCTTAACTATTCGTTAGTGGTAACAAAATATTCATTGACTACAACTTAACCTTCCCCTGTGAAATAAATACCGTAGCTATTGTGGATGCTCTTAAATTATATATCACTGAGTTTTTTTCACATTACAGTTATTAGGTGTTGGCTACTTCTGAACCCCTCCTTGAGGTTTAAATTATCTTCATTTCTCCTCACAGCCTTCCTCGGATCCACACTACTGAGGCAATAATGCTATACCCCAGATTTTTATTACTCTACCTCAGCACTGAATTCACACAAACTACTCATCCACGTTATTTATTAAACTGTTTGTATACCTGACAGTAATCAAACAATGAATTCTGCTTGTCAACTCGAAACTGGATACAAATTAGTACCAACACAATAAACTTTTCAGCAACTGTGTTTTTATCGAATTTCTCCGGTGCTGTATCAAGGACCACCATCTCTGTTTGCTGACTCAATGATTCTCCTTGAATTAAGTTAATGCATGTGGCCGTTTATGTACTCATAACGCAAGCTTTAAAATACACACATGAAAATCATGAAGTACTTGTCATCTCTGCATGTAGTATTGATGTGTCCCATGAATTCCTAATTTATTCTTTGGCGAGGCAATTTTTCGGAACTTTCACTGGTAAATATCTCTTTTATTCAATTTCTTGGTACTTCAGACAACTAAAAAATAAATGTTCGCTGTACTCTCATGGTGTGATTTGTGGTCAAAAGAACCAGCAATCTATGTTATTGTGTGTGCTTAACTGAGCAAATGAAGCCCATTTTCATGGCATTTCTAAAACTAATAGTACGCTTCACATGTCGAAACAATTTGCAAGCTTTGACAGCTTCGATAACCGTATTTCATGCATAATTATACAGGATGTGAACATGCCGGTAAAAATCGCATGAGTCATCTAAATGCCTAATTTATACAAATAAATCACTGTGATCATATCGAGTACGTTTTCCTTGAGTGGGCTATCGGACTAAGTACATTGATATAGAAGATTTATGCTGAAAATAATGTCTGATGACAACGGTGATAGGTTTTTACATTCCACTGATGGGGAATCACTATTAATCGCCAACGCTTTGTTATACATGTGCTCTTATCCTACACTAGGAAACCATTGATTGGTCAGTGTACAGTAACCACTATTATGTGTCCAGTCCATGGATTGGTGAAGGCTGAATTCCACGATCTCACACGCGAGCAAACCGTCTGTCGTATGATCAGTACTACAGTTGGGTGGTCTTCTTATCCCATGCGCTTAGTCAAGCCGATTTCTAGGTTCTCAAGGTCTGTTTCCATGTGCTGTAGCTTCACGGATTTAAAATCTTAAGGTATTCTTATAGTGGGTCGCCAACCCGCAACATATACTGATTAATTTTTCGGCCCGGTGTACAGTAAGGTTTGATAATTTAACCCCGTAGTCCTTAATTAAGGGGCTTTTAAAGACCTCCGGATTTTATGTAGCACACTTTAAATTTGGCCTATTTCTGTCGTATCCAGTTTCCAATTACTACCGCCCTTAAGCCCTTAACAAAAGCATTTTTAGCCATCTCAGTGTTGTCTGTATAATTTCTTCTCGTCATGCTGATTTTTGACTAGGCCTAGTAGGCATGAGTCTCCAGCGACCCAGCTGTTCAATCCTTTAAATATATAAGACATACGTATTATTTTCTCTCTACTGGGACCAAGATTCTGTTTCCATTTTGAAAAATCTGTCGATTTCATAATCATACGGTCAGCTTTTGACTGATCCTGTACGAATGGTGAATTTTGATATCTGCTGTCGTTTTGGGGAGAAGCCTGTTTAGAATCAGTCTGCTAGGGGTAAAGTAACGTTTCCAATGGTATCCTAGCCTGATTGGCATCATCTTACTGGTTTGTGGTGGTTAGCTGCCTGTCCGAGAGACAAGGCCCCACAGGTCTGGCGTTCTCCCATTGATGAGCTGATTCTTCCTCTCCTTCCATGATTGTCTTGTTTCGCTTCTTGACAGGTGTAGCTGATGAAGTTAACTAACAGTGGCAACCAAGTTAAGCTTTAAGCACCAAGGGAGTGAGACCGAGCCTATGACAGTGAGGTGATGAGTAAACAAGTTAATGAACCCAGGTCAATAACACGATAGTCGTGAATAAAACACTCTGTGAAGTTTTGTGATATTAAACAGGATATCCAGTGAATTTTAGTTTAGGTTTAGGAAAGACCAAGTTAAGATTTAGTCTAAGGGGAGGTTAAGGTTAGGTTAAACTGAAAAGAGGTGTTAAGGTTGACTGGAGTGAATTTCGTGCCAGGTTTAGGTCATAGAAAGGTTAGAGTTAAGGGGGGGGGTCAGCAGCTAGATGAATACGTGCGCTTAATGTCATTCAGTTATCAGTATCAAACCAAAGCAAAATTGAGAAGTATTTCTATCAGAAGTAGGAGAAGGTTGTCCTGTGTAATAGTCACTGCCTTTTCATCCATTATTTCCGTAAATATATGTATTTTATACGTAAAAATCCAATTTTCATGTGATTGGTGTGTTCAAGCTGACCTATGCACTCGTCCTTGACAGTGCTTATCGCAAAGGAGGTGGTACAAAGGTATCTTTACAAGTGGCTGACAGCAGACATGAAATAGAAACTACAAACTGAGAAAACAAGATGACTAAAACGTTTCAGAAAGTCTTACCAGCCACATAAAACTAGATTCCCAAGATGCACAAATGAAATTTTTCACATATGTAACTCTATGAATGCATCAAAAATCTATCTCCGTAAAGAATGGATCAAACTAAAATTTACCGATATGCACTTAAAATTAGTTCTCTCTAGCGTTTCCTAAAATGGGTATATTGTCTAACTTGTACTGTAAACTCAGGGACGGAAATTTATTCAGTCACGCACCCAAATATCTAAAAACCTCTTCCGTTGAATGTTTGCGTTCACTGACACCAGGGATGCATTCGTTTAGGAAAGTGATATTTGAATTTGAGAACATATTTTAGAACTAATTCACCATTCATAGTTCTGAGAATGGTGGTTTCAGTCTGAATTTTTTATATTTGCGAGCTTTACTGCATGTTAGTTATGCCATCGAGGTTTTAAAATTTTAACTACGGCCTTAGCTTATTTTGACGAATAGCAGTTACGTAGGGGTTACCATGGTAGTGGAACAAACTGCACAGCTGCATTATCACAGCTACCTTCGCTTCATACTGTGGAACAAATGGCCAGAAAGAATAAGCAAAAAAAACTATGGGAACCAACCAACCAAGAGCCAGTCGCACAACACGCCAGGCCTTCGAGTTGAATCGCATTGGCAAGCGACGATTGGGTCGTCGGTGCGAGGGTGACATGGAGGAAATCGTGTGAGGAAGAGATGAGAGAGTTTGGTCAATCGTGCGGTAAGCTGAGGAGAACGGCAGAAAACAGAAGAAAGTGGAGATGTTTTGGTGATGTCCTATGTTCCACTCGGCACGTAAGGGAATATTAATAACAATTGTCATCCAGTACACTGAAATCGAATATTTACCTAGATTTCACGCAGATATGAAAACAGCAGGTCTTTGGTCTTTATAGTCAGTTCGTTGGTCTTCGATTATCATAGTTTCCATGATTTTGTTAGTATATGCTAATACTTAATTCTTCAGTATGCGCAGCAGTTTTGAGGTTGTTTGCATTCCCTACGGCGCTTCTTTTGAATATGCACACCTTTCTCTCGTTTGATTGTCGGATGTATTTAAATGTTTTATGTGATTAAATTTCACGTGCTTAAAGATGGAAAATTTTGTACTTTATGACGAAATAGAAAAAAATTCTGAGCAAGTTATATATAAAGCGAGACGAAAGGGAACTATTAAATACTTAGCCGTTGCCTGTGCTGAAAAGCACAGACGGCCATTAATTTCCAATCATGTAAGAGTATCTCATGAATTGAAACACAAGAATGTTCTCCAATTTTATGAGTGGTATGAAACCAGTAATCACCTGTGGCTGGTTATGGAGTTATGCACAGGTGGTAGCCTTGAGCAAGTTATTAGAGAAGATCGTTTTCTTTCCGAAAGTGTGATCAGGAAATTCGGAACAGATATTGTCCGTGGTTTACGGTATGTCCACTCGAGGGGCGTTGTTTTTAATCGGTTACTACCATCCCGTGTAAGTTAAAATAAAATTGTTTATATGTGCTTAGTTTTTACTAGATGGTAGCGGAACCGTCAAGTTGTTTGACTTTTCTTTGGCACATGCAGAGGATGAGGTTTTAGAAGATCTCTTGACCCGCTTTTGCGAGGAAGATGACTACCAAAATGACTGTCTGCGTGATCTTACTGTTCATTCTGAATATGATTCACCTGAAGCAATAACTCAGAATTCCAACTCCAAAATGTCTGATTACTGGGGTCTCGGTTGTCTCTTCTATAACATGTTTTATGGACGTCCACCATTTACTAGTACATCACAGGAGGAGGCAAGTTTTTCAAATTATTATTAGCCTACTAACAATATTTTGCAAAATATGGTAATGCTTCAATAAGTTTTTCAGTTAGCTTACTAATGTAATAACACCTCAAATTTATTTGTTTGGATGCTTATTAGGCGACTTAGGTGACTGGTATTTCCAGGCAGATCTAAAAAATTTGGTTTTTGTTGTAACATATTCATAGCGGGTATTTGCCGTCCATAGTTTTATGCCCTGATTTATTCTTTATATACTTTTATGTTGGGAATTTTTTTAATACAAAGGCTTATCAGACTCTTCTACTACATTGAAAAATCACAAATGTATTGTTTCAGGTTTATTTTAAGTAAGTATGGTTTACTTGTTTACCTCAGCAACACCAGAAGTATTATTGTCAGAAAATTTGACTCACTTAGACTTATTCGTATTAGTCTGTCAGCAAAAGATATTTTTATGGTATTTATTCAAAAATTATCCGCAAATTATGTTAGCTATTTGGCATTTTTATGTTCGTTTTTTCTTCAAAAAATCTCACAATCTCCTCCCATATTTTTTAAGTTCTGATGTTTCAGTATTTGCAAATTTCTCAATAAGGCTTTGTGGAATGAATTGCCTCATTCATGTTAACTACTATTTAGCAGAGTAACAATAAGACACAATTGTCATGATGAAATGCAAAAATTTAGCTCATGAAAAAGTCCATATCTTGTTCATCAACCAGTATACTCCCATATATGACACGTATAAATTGTTCCAGAAGTACGACTGTAAAGCGATTTAAAAGACAGCTGTTATTTAGCCTCGGACTATGAAGGTGTAAAAATGGGCTTTGTAGAAAAATAGGTCAAGTTATCCTGACAAAGGTTTTAGTCCCAATAGAAAGTCTTTGAGAAACAATCTATGTGAAACAGAATTTGATGCGTTTAAATACCATCTCTTTCAGTCGATTGAGTATGGTATTTACTCCAGAGGACATTCTAGTCCATTTTATTCGGTATTTATTACTAAAGGGGACTGTTATGTTACAGTCACTAAATAGTGTTTATGATTCTTAATTCTGAAAATCACTTTTAGGGAATTTTGTGATCAGTTAATTTTTACAGAAAGACATTTTTTGTCCTTTTCACCGGCTACAAATGTCAACTTGTGATTGAAGTAAATCCTATATTTTGTGTAATTTAATGATGTCTCGTGAAGTTTAGTTTGTTGACTTCAGTTGCTCACGTCACCATGTAGACGTCATAACACTTGTCGACCTGATTTAGTGCGAGTTATTTGGAATACGGGTACTGTGATAGATTAAAATTTCATAATAAACTAATTTTAAATGATATACCACAGCGATACACCATTATTTATATGTATCAGTGAATTAGAAATAAATAAATAATACTGTATCACTGCATACGATATTAAACAAAATTCTGTTGTGAAATTAAAGTTCCTATTTCTGATCATTACATACTACAAGTAATTTTCTTTTCCAATGGTTCTCTAACTAATGTCAGCTCATGATGCAAATCCTGCAACCAATCAAGTCCCTACAAACCAACACTTGAATATCAATGAGATGCTCACTAGCGACTTGCCTTATTCAGGCAGGTAGTTACCTGGGGTTCTATTGAGAAGTCGTGACCAGTAGGGTGCAGCAGGTCGGGTGTGAGGACAAATACTCGCCGAAGACATTGGCTAGGGGTCGCGCTATGTCGTGAATTGACAGAAGTTAGAATTCATGGGTCATTGGATCGGGTCCCAGTGGCTTAATGGTCTACGAGCTAGCTCGCCTTGTAACCAGAAGGTCCCGGTTTCGAATCCCGGTGGGTGCGTGCTGATGAAGAATCCCAAACTAGGACAAAACAGCTGTCCAGTACTCCCATCTGGTTTTCCAATGGTTCTCTAACTAATGTCAGCTCATGATGAAAATCCTGTAACCAATCAAATCCCTACAATCCAACACTTGAATTTTTTTTAAGTTATGCAGTGAAGTATATCTATTTTAATTATTTCCAAGTAACAAAGTATGCGATGTAACTAGGTTACTATAAGGTAGAGTGTAATGTGATGGTCCTAGTGAGCCTTCTAGTCATCATTAAGAATTCCAATATTTCATGCATTTGCTTCCCTTGATAAATTTCGATAGAGAAAGAAAGACCAGATTTGCAGTATAAAATGATATCAGTAATCTTCGCTACATCCTTTTGTCTTACTTTCCGCAAGCATCCTTCTATTCATTAAAAAATGTCAAAGATAAATTTCCACTGTAGACGAAATCTGTCTGTTTGAATAGGATCACTTACTCCGCCAAAGCTAAATGTATAAGCCGTACAGATAACACACTGTCTAGACTTGCGCATGATCATCCTCCAGTATGACTACTAAGAGGAGACCAACCAATGACTCGATTCTTGGGCACTTTGTTCTTTGCGATCACTCTGCATAAAAAGACAAACTTCTCGGTGTGTTATATAAAGTAGGACTAAATATGTCGAAGAGATTCCGCCTACACCTTTGGACAGTCAAAATAGAATCTAGAGTCCAGTAGACATATGTGCTTTATTTAATTCTGTTTACTATTATGGCTTCATCCTTCGAATATTTTGCCTGTCAGACGTTAACTTTGTATGTAATCTGTTTACGTTTCGTTTGCTAAACTCTTTTTCGCTTTTACAAATTTGGTCTCTCTTGTTTCAGCGAAAAAGGGGATCTTTCTCTAGTGTGAGAAATATTCCAAGCATTTAACTTTCCGTAGCCATTCTAGTCCAAGTGGACTAGTGGTTAATGCTTGTGCGTCGGTGGTTCAGTGGTAGAACGCCCATCAACCACTCACGTGATCCGAGGTCTGGTCCCCTGTCGGCGCACTTCTAAACCTCGAATAGCAGGTAGTAGGCCCTGTAAAGAAGGGGGAGGGTTAGGAGTGAGACTAGCAATCCCATTATGTAAAAGAGAACACCACCCCATGCTCTACTCGGGACGCAAAGGAATAATGATAATATGAACCATTTCTGGACTATATTCTTTATGTAGCGTTTTAGATCACTTGGGATTGATCAACTGATTTTCACAATTTACCATTTTCCTTTCATTATACATACTACTATATTTGTTCCATTCCTTTGCATTCTGAGTGGGACATATGGATCCAAGTTTAGTGTCTCTGCGAGGTAAGGCTGCTAGCCTCACGCCCAACTTTCCGAATTTTCTAAGCTTATTACCGCCTAGGCTATGTTTAGAAGTGAGTCGGCCAGGAATTGAACCCAGATTACGTGGGTGGTTGGCGAGCATGTGATACTTAGTTCTGTATATTTTTTTATCGACTTATACTAACCTCTGACATTTAGTGCTATTTTCCATGATATTTTCAATTTCTATCTTCTATTTGCCTATCAATTTTTCGATGCCTTTATCTTTTTGTATAATTAGATGAAAGAAATCTCTAGGCGAGAAGTTCTTTAGCATTCATTAAGTTTAAGCAAAAATACGCACTTTTTCTTACGATTGCTTAATCATTTTAATTTATGAAATTATCAAGTCGTCATGCGCTGTATTGATTTTTATCAAGCGTCAAGCGCTTATATATCTTGTGAGCTGAAATATTGATTTAATGGTTGTTTAAAAATAAAGTAATTGATCAAATTCACGATTTGAAAATTACACGCAATTTGAGGTGAAAATTCACTACTGCAGAGTATCGTTTGAAATCCAAAATTATTCAGATCATAATATGCCTGATCTGTTTGATATTATAAGTGGTAGTCGAGAAATTAATCGATAGAGAATGATGATATGTACTATTTAGCTGACATAAGCAGTTGAAAATCATCCATGATAAACAGTGTGAGCTCAATTGATTTGACTCTGCATGCTGAATCAGTCTAGGCACACCAATGATTAACTCGACCTTAAACGACCAAAATGGCTGTCTCCAGTTTAGATCACTTTGAAGTGAATTGACAAACTCTACTGCTTGACATGAGTGCTTTCCAACTACCCATATCACTCAGTAGTATATACCACAACATAATTATTAATCCTCTAAGCATTTTTCTTTAGTAAGAAAGAAACAGTGCATAAGATTCAAGTGAAGAATATTTGCTATTCTTATTCAGCCTTTTTTAGTCTACCATCGCATTCCCTCTGGCAATGCTTGGCTGTAAAGGGAATGCCGAGAAAATACATTGCACTGATCAAGGCACTCACTCTACTCGAACTCATGCAGCCAGGTGAGGGCTTACGGCGAGTTGTCACCTGAAATAGTGACGAATAGTGGTGTCCGTCAGAGATGCCCATTATCCTCATTTCTATTCAATTTCATCATAGACGTACTAATGGGCTTAACCCTAACTCACTTTAAAGACTCAGGGATTGACTTGTTGCCAGGGAATAATCTCGTTGACTTAGAATATGCAGATGATGTAGTCTTTGTAAGTGAAGACGCTGACAAAATCCAGCAGAGTCTTCTGAACATCTTTAGCTGCAATCTACGAATGTTTGGCATGCAATTCGCTCCAGCCAAATGTAAGATGATGTTACAGGACTGGACTACATTGACTCCTAGCTTAGAAATAGGGAGTAAAGTGGTAGAGCACGTTGATCGTTTCACTTATTTGGGAAGTTGCATCAGCAAGTGCCAACGGGTTGATCGCTGACGAAATCTCAGCACGGATACAGAGGGCTAGTTTCGCATATGCCAGTTTGCGCCGTCTCTGGCGTAGACATGATATCCGGCTATCGACCAAAGGACGGGTGTACTGCTCATCAGTCCTCTCCGTCCTCCTTTATGGCTGTGATACCTGGCCATTGAGAGTGGGAGATATGAAAAGGCCGGCTAGCTGTCTTTGATGATAGGTGCATGCGTTCTATCTTCGTTATTACTATTCCCTTGTCTCACACCTCTGTTTACTGTCTCTATTATGCATTTCTCCTACTTTCTTCTCTTGCTTTGTGTGCTACATGGAGTGTGGCGATTTGAACTGCCGCACATATGTGCAAAGTTCTATGTCGAAAACAGACAGACAGACAGTACGTAATAGGAGTTGATGACAGAGTGAGTTTCAGCAGCAAGTTTTTTTTACAGAGGTGCATTAGTTCAAGTTACCATACTCCATGTGACGCATAAAGGTAGAAAAAAGCGAGAAGAAAGAAATTCAAAGAAACAATGATGAGCACAAATGTGCACGAAAAAGAATAGTAAAATGGAGAATATAATGATGTCTTAATGCATATTGGAGATCATAAAGCGTGAAGGCATCTGTACCATTAACAGACATATCACCAATAGTCTATGAAGGCCTACAACCAGGCAGGCATCCTACACCTCTTTAAATTGGCTGGCTTAAACCAACAGTCAAAAACTACATGGATTGGTGTGTCAGGTTTTGTTTTGACCACCCATTAGTCTCTTCCAATCTCATCCTATGCTAACTAACATTGCTTGTCGTGAAAGGCGGTGTTTGATATTTCGTACGTATTCTTATATACAGTTTTAGATTGTTTGTTTCCTTTTGACAGTCATTCACACAGTTTAGTGTTTAAATTATTCAGATTCAATTTCTTTATTCATATTACGAATATAAGAAAGTAGGGCGACAATTTTTAATGGTAACTATACTTTATTGAATAGTTTTATGTAACAATGAGGTCCTCAGTTTAACTTGCGTTTCCCAGTCTCTGCCATGAACGTGTATATCTGATAAGATTCCCACATTACACACTAATCAAGAGATTTATTATTCAGTGTGATGACTTATTTATTTCCATGCTTTATATTATTCTAGCTGGATAGAAGGATATTACACCAAGAGCCTGATTTATCGAATTCAGATGTCAACAGTCCACCATCTCCCCTCTTTAAATCTCTTTTGTCCGCACTATTGACTAAATCTGTATCGAAACGAATAAATGAAAATGATTTGATCAAACATCCGTTTTGGCATCAACGTATTTCTGTTACAGAACCAGTTAATTCAACTGAAAACACAACTGTCATAAATAAGGTAAGCATATATGCATTTCAGTGGTTATTCTCTCCTATCTGATTTGTTTCTTCCTTCCTGGTGTTTACTTTGAAGATGTGAGAATGTTTACACAGTGACTTTGAAGAGGTTAGTTTAACACTGTGGTACCGGCGAAATAGCGGACCTAGATAAATTTAAAACAAGCTATTGGTCTTTTGGACGATATATGCAAACTCTAACTGCATTTGCTTGAAGCCATATAGATGACAAGGTAATTTGCTGAGGAACACTGGATTTTCGCGAGTTCCTTGCTTCTTCTTCTTCTTGACTCCCGTTGTTTCGTTCTGGTTACTACTGCACTTTATTCTCCGACACAAACTAAGCATATCTACTGTAAAAACTACTGCACTTGATGGTTAGAAAGTGCCAGTGAGACTGAAGCAATACGCACCTCTGAAAACAGCCAGATACTTGTCCGGGTTATCGGGGCTAACGATCGGCCTGCTAAATTTGGGCTACCGATATCACATGCTGAAAAGTCCATAGTTGTACCGAAATACTGTGTGAAATCAAGCTATATTAAGAACATAATAAGATATAGGTTGAAACAGCTGTCTAGTACTCCTTAGTTTTTAATGGCTCTCTAGCTGGTATTAACTCATGCTCACATCCCTACAAACTAACACTTGAAAATTAACCTGATATTTACTAGTGACTGACTACAGGACGAAGTTCCCTGGAGTTTCCGTGTGAAATTGTAACCAATAGGATCCACCAGGTCGGGTATGAGGGCAAATACTCGCCGATGGTATTGGCTGGCGGTTGTGCTAAAATCGCAAACTGACAGAAGTTACAATTCATGGATCATTAAATTCTGTCCCAGTAGCTCTGAACTGTCAGCCAGCTTGTCTTATAGTCTGAAGGTCATGAGTTCGATTCCTGGAGGGGAGATCATGAAGGAATACTGATGAAGAGTGTTGAAGGAGGAAGAAACAGCTGGTTCTCTAACCAATATCAATTCGTGACCAAACTTGAGACAGATATTTCCACTGGAAAACCTGGGAGTACTAGACAGCTGTTTCGTCCTAGTTTAGGACTCTTCATCAGCACGCACCAATCAAATCCCTGCAAATCAACACTTGAAACAGATATGGCTCATCGAAATATCCATGATATTTGTATGATAGCGGCTGATTGATTACTAAAGAGTGATTAAGCGTTTTTACCTATCTTATAGTGTTTAAACTGTTTATTACTCGTTTGTAAACTGATTATTGATCACTGTCTTTAGTGTCTTTATCGTCACATAATATAGTCACGTGAAATGGTGAATAGCAATCTAAAAATGTACTCTAGTAAAAGACAAACTGATTAGGGAAATTAGAAATTGATTGTTAATGGTATATATATATATATATATATATATATATATATATATATATATATATATAATTTGTCTTTGTGTATCTTTCAGACATCAACTGATACACGAAGTGATGAATCCAAGCTGAGCACATATGAAAAGGTGGATTCTACAAATATTAAATCAAAAAATAGTGATGACACACCGACATTATCACATTACAATGAAAAATTAATAAATACAATGGAAGGCAATGAAAAGCCTCAATCATTTGATTCAGCCATATCTAATTCAGATGCTTCAACGTCTTCAGTCCCGCCAGTAAGTGAAAATGAGCATACACTACATGCTATTACAAATGCACCGCTTAACAATAATTCTACGAATCATGATAATCGAAATCATCACCATAATTATAATAGTAATAATAATGATAATCATAATCATAATACATTATCTACAAATAATACTACAAATGGCGGAAATATACAATATTCAAAATCAGGTGAACAACAAATAACAAATTCTAATGGCCATTCGACAGTAAATAACACACATAATACAGATAAATTGAAAATGAGAAAAAATCAATTATATGCTAATGATAGAATGGTACAAAGTGAATATAATACCGCAACATCAACTCTTAGTCAAGGTAATATTTTTAAAAAAAATCTTTGTGTATCATTTCCTTGTGTGTATGTGTGTGTGTACAGTCTGATAAGAATGTTTGTAGACAGAAATCTTAACTGATATATATGTATTCAGCTGTCTAGTGTATATGAAACGACCTGCTACGGCCAAGGGTGGATAGACTTTGGTCTTCCTCTCAAAATATTTTCATATATGGCCACATGTTTATAGTCTCTGTCAGGTGAATCATATTCACTGCCATCAAGCAGCTGGGGGTGTTCCTTAGAAAAAGTGAAATGGCGAATGCGAAAGTCTGGCACTTACAGTCGGACTGGTAGACACGCTGATCCAGAATCTGATTGGATCGGAAACCATGAAAATGTAGCTCCTGACGCCACTCCTCTACCTTGTGGATCAGACTTCAAGTCAAAGGCTCGAGGGTGGTCCTTTAAGACAATCACCTTTTCCGGTCTAGGCGTCCGAGTAGTATCCCAACCCTTGCACAAACTGTGGGACTTTGTGTGGTGCATCTTCTGATGACCATAATGTATCAAATTTGTGTTTTAATAATAATAGTGATGATAATAAATAGTGTGTATCAAACTGGCCTGGATGGTGAAACACTTACTTTACTTCGGCTATCTCCTACGGGAGGATGAGCCGGCTTCATGAACATCTCGAATCATCGCTGCCAAGGCGCGGCGATCTGATGCAAGGTTTTGCGACAGGGTTATCCAATTCTTGTCCTACAGACGGAGTCCGTAGACGGTTTGTAGCCCCAGGCACTCCATATCAGAGAGTTCATGAAGTTTCATGGGGATTTGGTACGAGTGATGTCCCCAGAATCGCTCGGCCTTTTGTTTGAGAGTGCAGCTCTAGCCTTTACGCAACCAAGTGTGACTTACAAGGCAGTAGGAGTGGAGTAGGGAGTCCACTATCCATTGGCAGCCGGTGACCGGAGTTCGGTTCATACGCCTTTTTGAATGGGGCCAAACATCCAGGACATCCAACAAGCCCTTTGTCCATACGTCTCTCCGGTGAGCTCCAGTGAGCTTCATACGCCAGTCGTTGGAGGTTTGGAATCAGGGCTTAGCCATCTCCCCTAGACTGTCATCCAGTGGACAGTCAACCCGGTGAAGAGCGCCGGGCATCCGCTTTTGCCCTCTCATTTTGGTGAAAAACACCTCCGCCACTTGAAGGCAGTGAGTAGGACTTCCTCAGGAGAGGCTATGTAAGACGCCCGGTCATATGGGAGCATTTCAAGAGGTGTGCGGAGGGGTGGCCAACCCGCAGCGCAAGGCACTCACCCCCGACCATCCTGAGGCTTTAGAGGCCATGAAACAAGCTTAAGTAAAACATCAGGTCGCTTTAAATTCCACTCTAGCTTAACATTTATACTTATAATGTGTGTATGACGAACAGAAAGTATGTACCGTATTTTAATCTGTTCTTAGTCGACAGTCAATGGTACATAAATATTTGCTTATTATAAAAGCACATCATACTTTTTGAAATGACTCCTTGCATAGTTTTTTTTGACACATTTGCTGAATATTAGAAACATTAGAATAACATATGTGGATAATTGTTTCATCTAAACAATTCCATGTCCCAAGACAGCTTTAATAATGAAATGTGTGACCTGGACTATTCCCGGATACATTCTGCTGATATTATGTCATCAATTATGTGTGGTTACCACATACTGTCGACTTGAAAACATTGGAGTACCGATATATCAAAACACATTATATATATGTAGCAGTATGTTTTTTTTTTATTTCACTGTCCTTCTTCTGTGTATGAGTCACCAATGTAATCAAAATAACTAGACAGTTTATTTTACCGCGCTTTGTTTCTTCCATAGAAAAATTGACTTGTTTCAAATTTGATCACCGATTAATATCAGTTAGAGAATCATTGAAAACTAGGGAGTACTGGATAGTCGTTTGGTCCTAGTTTGAAACTCCTCATCCGTATGCGCCCACTGGGGTTCGAATTCAGGACCTTCTGGTTACAAGGCAATCTCGTAGACCATTCAGCCACTGGGACCCGACTCAATGGCCCATAAATTCTAACTTCTACTAATTCCTAATTTTAGCGCACCCACCAGCCATTGTCACCGACTAGTATTTGTCCTCACTTCTGACCGGACTGACTCCATCGGTCGCGACTTCTCACGAAAACTGCAGGCAAATTGGTCCTGAAGCCAGTCACTGGCAAGCATCAGATGACATTGGCTGGTGGTTGAGCTAAAATCACGAATCGGTAGGAGTTAGAATTCATGGGCCATTGAGTCAGGTCCGAGTAGCTGAATGGTCTGCGAGCTTGCCTTGTAACCGGAGGGTGCTGGGTTCGAACCCTGGCGGTAGATGTGTGTACTGCCGATGGGTCTCAAACTAGGACGAAATGGCTGTGCAATACTCCCTAGTTCAAATGATTCTCTAACTGATATCAGTCCATGGTCAAACTTGAAACAAATCGAATCCCTACAAACGAACTCGTGAAAAATTGATTTGCTTACAGGTGTAAGTGTTAACACAAGTTCCTAGTAGTACAGTTCATGAATAGCACATACTTATAGGACATGCCAAATATTCAATAAACAAATTTATCGATTCTAGATCATGTGACAAAATCTCGAGCTGTCGAATCAAGTAGTTGCATGAACATTAAAACTAAGAAAGGTGGCATGAACTATCACTGAATGACTTCTTTCATTGCAGCTATGACCAACGACCCTTTGCTTTTCTGACTATATTCTTCTCACTTCCGCCAACAAAGCAGATGAGATGTCAGCATAAATAACACATATCCTGGTCACTTGAGACGTTGACAAATTTATAGTTTCTTCAACTGACTTACTTATCTCACTCTGAGCTCTGAGAATAATTTCTACACTCCACAAGAATGAATTCCATTAAAAGAGCGACAATAACAGCTAAATTATTGTATTTGTTAACGTAAATCACCTGTTTATTTAAGTGTATCTTGACCAGTCTGTATACTATTGCAAAGCAAAACCCTATCGTTTTGATATGTATTAATAGTGAGTGCATTAGACCGACAACACTCTCAACACATACATCTTTCAAGTTACTTCAAAAGCATTGTTGATTTTGAAATCAAACGTTTCTCGTGGTGTCTTACAGGTTAATCTAATTCTCTTGTTGAATAAGAACACTTTAGAAACTTCCTCTGAACATTACTCACCCTACCCCTTTTTTTACTATTTTACTGAAAAAAATATTTTCTGTAGTTACGTAACCGATTATATTGTTATACTCTTTCTAGTTAAACCCAAAAAGTTTGAACTCTATTCTCAAGAGTATCCGTTTAATTATTGTATAAATAGTCAATCTTATTATCTAATAATTTAACAACTTGCATCATTCCTTCACTTATGTTACTCTTCGTTGCTATCTATTCTTTCGTCATCACGAAAAAAGTATTTTCAAATCTTTGATTTAATTTATATTTTTCGTACTGTAACTAGTTGAGAAGAATCCTTGAAATAATGAAAGATGACTTCATATTATCCTTGCACACTTGTTATTCTTGCTTTGTTGAAGAACACTTACATCGACGTGTGCATATCCTTCAAAGTGATCTAGAAGTATGTACATATATTCGTGTAATTTGCATAACATGGAATTGCAATACCTTACATCTCAATCATTCTCATTATTAGAAGTTGTGCACCACGGTAATGATCTTATTCCAGTATGATGAAATACTCTTATTTCAGTATGTGTATTGCCTGCGTTTTCGATTAGATTTAAAAGATATTATCTTGGTCAAGTGATTTATAGGATTTCAGTACATTTAGTGCTTCAATACGCAATCATTTGAATACCATCTTGACCAATAATAATGAAAATATTAAGAACTTTTATTTTTCGTACAGTCTGTTCATCATAATAGCAACTTCCAAAGTTTTGTTTATCGAGATTAAATCAGTGACTGTTAGACTAGGATATCGTTATTCAGTGAATTAAGTGGTAATAAATCTGAATTTTGATTGGACACTAGTAACTAGTGTGACGTGTCTAGTCCTTTCTTTGGTGCAGACTGAATTCTATCAGTCAGTCCAACTATCTAATATCATCAAATCAATGTGCACCGTGATGGCGAGCTACCTAGAATGGTGGCCACATTGCAAATACCTGACTGATAAATTCAGTTTGCACCAAAGAAAGGACTAGACACGTCACACTAGTTACTAATGTCCAATCAAAATACCCACTACAGTCCTACAGGAGGTCAATCGCGGGCCTGAATAGCTCAGTGGTAACGTTTCTGACTGACTGCAGCACTGGGTGACGCGGGTTCGAATCTCAGAAGGGACATGAGTTCCTTCAAGGCTGCAGATACGCCTTGCTGATGAGTGCCAACTAGCACGAAACCTAGGTGAAGCAAGGCTTCCTGCCGATTGCCTCCAACTATCTAATAAATCTGAATCTCAAAATGAACGAGTTATTACTATGATGAATGTTTATAAGACTTCGACTGATCGATCACATTTATTGGAAAATCATTACTTTTAAATAATACTGTAAACGGCGGTTTTATAGCAGACTACTCGTCAACCACACACTCGTGGTCCAGGTTCAGCTCCCTGCCGATACACTTTTAAACCTCATCTAACTGGTAGTAGGCCTGTAGGAAGGGGCGTCGGTAGTACAGTGGTTAGGACTCTCGCCGACCATGCACATGGTCCGGGGTTCGATCCCCTGCCGACACACACACCTGATATCTATGGTCGGCCTGCTAAATTCGGGCTACCGATATCACATGCTGAGAATTCCATACTTGGAATCAAGCTATAATCAAAAATAAAAAAAATGAATAAAAATAAACAACTCGCCAGCGGAAATTCAAAGCGCAACACTTGAAGTCGTATGTTCCACTTGGAGCTCAAAGGAATTAGGAGAAGTAAGCATAGTGTGAATTTAATATCCACAATAACAAGTTGTGCTGCAAAAGATTGGTGATGTTGACTTAAAGTGACATGAATCTATAGTAAATTTATAGTTCTCTATTACTCTGGGTCACTTGTTTTCTGTTTGTTTCGACAATTGAAACTTTTTATACTTTTAATTTGGTGGATGGTTGGTGCCTAGCAGTGGAATCTAGGATGCGCATTTCGTCCTATCTGGGACTCGTCATCTGGATGTACCTGCATTTTGTGTAAATTTATCTCAGTTTATCGTATACATACATAAGTTTAATTGCTTTAAATAATCTATCTGAAATTGAATTTATACACTTAATTGTGATTTTTAATCTGTGCTTAAAATTTCTGTTATTATCATTACTATTATTATTACTGCTTTTATTACTACTATTATTATTAGCTCAAGAAGAAATCTCCAGAAATATTTTCAATCTAACAAGAACAACTGCAACTGTACATAGTGATGAAAAGGGTTATACCTTTAATTTAGATTCACTGGAATTATCAACGTTTAAATCACTTCAGTTAAGATCAAATCTTGCTCTTATCTATCCATGGGGTGATGATTCAACAAATTTTCCTCGTGAAATGAAATCAATATCAGACTTATGGACTGCATTTACTACTACTACTAATAATAATAATAGTAATAGTACTAATAATTCTGATTCAGATCAAAAGAAAGGTGCAACTGATGGTGGTGGTGGTGGTGTCTTGAATTCATATTTTCATAGTGGTTGGCGTCCTAAACCGTTAAGTGATTATATACGTTGGGCTCGAGTTATGCCGCCTACAAAAGTTGATGGATTAACGCGTCTGTATAATCCAATAGCATTGCATACAATTTCAGCAGAAGAACTTGATCAACATATCTGTGAGGTAAGCTTTAGTTAATTTGTTTAGATTTAAATTGTTTGAAAGTAGATTTCATCAAGGGCCTACAGGAATAAGATAAGTGTTGAAAAATATCAAGAATTGTGCATCTGTTTCATCTTAGTTTGTCACTGGTCAGAAGTACACACTCACGGGTGGATATGCGACTCAATGGCTTGGGCTCTCGACTTTTAGCCAGTTAGCCCTGGGTTCTAATCCCCGTGGCTTCACCCACTTCAGCTTGAGCAACTGAGTAGTATCATCAGCTCTTATACAATAATTGTATGGCTCATTGCCCGGTACTGGGCAGCTAAGTTACAACGAACACACGGTGTCGTAAGAAGTGGTCGAACACATAATTGTCAGGTTCTAAGGCGAGTATACTACCACTCATCCACTGAACAAGAATTCTGACGACCGTTATCAACACCCTACAGCGGGACGTGGGCACTGCAGACTAGTTCTAAAGTAGAACTAATAGAGCTTTATGGTGCTCGTGGATTTTGTATGGTTATCTAACATTGGTTCTTTTCTAAAATCTACCTTGATAACAGGTTGTTCTTGAAATGTTTTTTTGCTCACAGCATTTTTCTAAAAAGGAAGAATATATAACTACTTCTTTAATATAAAGTCTAACAGACAACTTTACTTTGAAGTTAATTACAGACTACAAGAAATCCACAAGCAAAGTTTTTTTTAACACTTTGTTTAGACGGTTTAGGCGTGAAATCCTGAAGTCTAGACTTATTCATTTCTCTTATTCAACAACACTACAGGACAGTCTGTCTACTATATAGCATTACTGGTGAATGTATATTCTTCTATCTTATGCTAGTGACATTTATGCTAGCAGTTTTCTTTTAACTGAACGTTATTAGGTGTTTTTTGTCTAAAAATAGACTGTAGACAGGAGATATTTTGATGTTTAGGCATTCATAACACCGATCAGTTTTAATAGTAATAATAATAAATAAGCGATGATTTTGCTCTGGTGGTCCAGTGGTAAAAGACCTGCTAACCAAGAATATGGTCCGAGGTTCGATCCCCGGTCGACTCACTCTTAAACTATGCTTATTTGACGGGAAGCCCAGTAAAGTGGGAAGGTTGGGCGTCAGACTAGCAACCCCATTGTGCAAAAAGGAACACCACTGCTACTAGAACTTCAAAGCTCGAGCTTGAAGCCCTGTGTTCCACTGGGAACGCAAACGTTATTATATAAGTGCTTCACGTATATAAAGCGGTATATCAAGCTTTATGTTGAGTGCTTAATCGTTATCTCGGAAGTATGTAACTTTAGTCTACGGTTTCACGTATTTAACCTCTAACAACTGGTCACTGGTTTAAAACATGCTGTTTCACCTTACAAGATCTGTACGAACAGATAGTTTTTGATGTGATTGAGTTCTCTGTTCTGGGTGATTTCTATGCAAAGCTTTTATTGTCCTTTTAAACAATATCTTCAGAGCAAGTTGGAATGTGAAGTGAACTTACTTGAATTCCACGTGAATGATATACGCGAAACTCTTGACAACCTTTTTCGTAATTGGTTGTTGACTTTGACCAGTCTAGATAGACTTCATTGACGTGTAATTTGACGTCTTTTCGACATGTGGGTTATTCTTTATTAGTTGAAAAACTTGGTTTGTGATAGGTTACAGGATTTCATCATGAGCTGATATCAGTTAGAGAACCATTGGAAAACCAGATGGGAGTACTGGACAGCTGTTTCGTCCTAGTTTGATACTCTTCGGCAGTATGCACCCACCGGGGTTCGAACCCAGGACCTTCTGGTTATAAGGCGAGCTCATAGACCATTAAGCTACTGGGAGCAAATCTAATGGTCAGTCCATGAATTCTAACTTCTGCCAATTCACGATATAGCGCAACCGCTAGCCAATGTCTTCGGTGAGTATTTGTCCTCACACCCGACCTGCTGTACCCTACTGGTCACGATAATATGTCTGTTAATCGCTGATTCATCTTAGTACTAAGGCTTCAGGGACTCCCTGACATTTTTGGCGTTCTATATTTTCCCAGTCCAATTCGGTGCCCACGGTTACCTACACATGTATTGATATGAAAGAATACATGTTGTTCTTTTGACAAGTATTCTATGATCTTGGATTCTAAGTTGAAGGGGACGCTCATTCTGACCAATATAGTACTTGTCACAGTTCATACTATCTTCTCTACAATTGGCTAGTATCATTAATCTCCATAAAATATGCTTAGACTCATTAACTATTTAGAGGTACACCGCATATGACTGCTGAGTCATATTGCTTCTTTTTTTTTAATTTTGCGCTTAAAACTACTGAAAATAATGTGTGTGAGAGCGAATGCCTCTTAAGTATTAAAGCATATGATCACCTGTCGGCAGTTCTATAAATTCTTCAGTCTATTAATGTCTTTTTATTCACGTTTTATTCACCAAACAGTTAGACAGTGGTAAACTATTGATTTATAAATTTTAGCATTAGAAATACTTAAAAACCAACTTTCATCATATGATGTGTTTTCACATATTAATAGTCAGGCGTTATCAATAAAATACAGCCATTTCAAAGTATGCACTTGTGACTCAACAGTCGTTCAGATGAAAAAGGCTGAGGTGTATATAGCACTTAACAATCATTAGTATAAATATCACCTTAAAATAAATAGGTGGATGGTGACTAGCATTGGAATCCGAGATGCGCGTTTCGTCCTATCCGGGACTCGTCATCAGCTGAATGTACCTGCATTCCCCAGCGAGTGATGGTGTTCCCACTGGGGCTCGAACCCAGTGTCCATAGTTCCAAACGCCAAAGCGTTATCCACTAGACAAATTAGGCCACGAGAGCCACCTCTTGTGCAACGGGTCATATAAATTATTTAATTCAATTTTAGATTTTCCCGTCGATTGATTGTTCGAAGCATCTGCAGAAGGAGCCAACGTGTCAACCTGAGACCGAGCACTTCGATCCAGTCCATTGACGGGAAAATCTAAAGCTGAATTAAATCACCTTAAAATATTTAACCAACTCCATAGTGAACATGCGCCATTGGATCGGATCCCAGTGACTTAATGGTCTACGAGTTCGTCTTGTAACCAGAAGGTCCTGGGTTCGAACCCTGGTGGGTGCGTGCTGTTGAAAAGTTCCAAACTAGGACGAAACAACTGTCCAGTACTCCCATCTAGTTTTCCAATGGTTCTCTAACTGATTGTCAGCTCATGATGAAATCCTCCAACCAATCAAACAAAATTCCCTACAAAACCAATAATTGAGAAATAATTTAACCTATCAGTAGGATGCACTTCATTAAACGACTAACTACTTACTGTTCAGCACACTTTCTTTGGGACTGAAAGTCATTTACTGAAGTCGAAAGGTGACTACTCAAACTGCAGTATATTCTTTATAAGAAGGTTAATAGTGCTTACTGTTTGTTATAAATGAGTCATCAGTGTGTATGCCTCAAGCTAAATGCTAAGAATTCAAATTCTGCTAATCATTGTATTTTCTAAAGTTGATGACACTGTTTCTAGTTAAATAGACATATTCAATAATATGCTGTAATAATACGTAACAATGTGACTTAATTACATGGAAAGTTTTAGCGTGATAAGACCATCTCATTTGGCCTACATCAGTGTATATAAAAGTCATTCAAATGTGTTAGTCTGCCTTGATACCACACTTTTACTAGAATAAATCTGATTTTGTTGGATTCTTTGAATAATTTTTCACATGGGGAAACTCTGCTAGGTGCTTGGACACCATCATGTGCATGTTAAAAGTTTTCCAGAAAAACAGATCGCCTATAGTCAGTTTATACTGTCATTGTTTTATATGATCGTTGAATCTAGAATGGATTGTCTAATCTTGTCATTGTCCGCATGCTTTTGACAGCTCCGAAGAAGGGCATGATGATGGTGTAAAATGTCACAATTTATCAAAGTTACACTTAATCAGTGGAAGATCACTGCATGACGTGTACGTCTCTGTGTCGAGTTTGAAAAGATTTCCACGAAGTTAGTAGGAGGATATTCCTATACTGATAAAGTTGTTGTATGTAAGCATCTGTGGAGTTGTTATCTCAGCCTTAAAGAACCAGGAAAACAAAACTTCTACGAAACATAAACTCTTTAAGGCAGTTATGTTTGGTGTGTACTGTTAACACTTAGCAGTAACACCGTGGAGTTAATTGTGCTATTGTGGTCCAATAGCATGTGTTGTAGCAGAGTGGATATTAGTGTCTTTTAGTTAATTATGTTCTCAAGATTCCATTTTTGGTATTTTGGATATATGTCACCACTTTTGTCCCAGTAACTTCCGGTTGCTCTTCCAACGTAACGTCCCCCTCCCCCTCCAGATACATGTGAATCGGTATACACAGTTGAGGGTAGCATATGCGGGGTACTTGTCCATCTTTGACTGCATCAACAAGGAGGATATACGGAGCAAAGAGACTAGTTTTGCTTCAGGATACGTCCTGAACAGGGCTTTGCTTGATCTTTTATTTATGATTCTCATAATATCATCACCTTTGAAGTCGAGTTCAATGAGAACTGGCTTCTTGTTGACCGTAGCTGCATCAAGTTTCTTGCCTTCATTCTTGCTACATTTGTTAACGAAGCTTTTTCGGTAACCATTTTCTTTCAAACATTTCTCAAGAAACACTAGTTCAATGTCTAATTTGTCAAGTGAACACTTTCTTTTCTCTCTAGAGAAAAGCGTTTTCGCTAGCGTTCGTTTGTAACTGACTGGGCAGAAGCTGTTGAAGTTTAGGTAGCCACAGCCCCATTCGTCAGTTGAATTACCTTTTTCATCTTAAACTCCACGACTGACTTCTGTGCTTCTCAAATAGTAACTTGACTAAATCGTCTGCATCATAAGTGACGTAACAAAAAGCAAATGAATTATATGTTTTACGCAAAGGTGTCTACGATGGTATTTTATGGGTCAGCACTAAGCTTTTATGACTTTCTGTTAAAGACATTTTCGTCAAATAAATAAAAACTG